TCGTTTATTCGCCTCTGTTGATTGACAAGTCGCCCATCAAATTGACTGATACTTGCGACGGGCATTAACTTAGGATGTAAAAATATGTGTGCAAACTCTCAGAGTAATTGGTTAAATACCATGGCAGTGAGAGCTTCATACATTTTACTTATTTTGAAGCGATTTCCTTGGTGAAAACCAAGAAAAAACGGGGGGGGGTCTATCTCCCCCCGGAAAAAACCAAAACAGAAACCGGTTTGTCTTTTTGAGTTTTGAGGTAGACCCTTTAAACCGGCAAAGTTTCATTGAAATCGGTGAGATGGCATGTAGCACGGAAACGTGCTTTTGGGTAATAAGAATTAAATATAGACATATTATAGTAGGTTGGCTTGGGAATTTACTGCACTCGTGATTTAGGGAAAACACTAGCTGGTAGTTACGCAAGGTGAACTATGAAAGACTGTAATAGATATAGTTCAAGTTAGATTTTGGATTGATAAAATGAATTGTTAGAACGTCGGCGGAGTTCGTCGAGAATAAAACTTGGAAAAGAAGATAGTACACAGTCCTCTTTGATTGGTATGGAGTTAACCAGCGATCGCGGAGTCCGCATAGATTCCGCGTCAAACTCAACAGGTTAGGAGCGTCATATGGGTATAATTCTGAAAATTGCCAGAGGTTTTTCAAGGCCGTTAAGCATTTCAACAGAAGCAGTAGTTTCAGATGCCTTGTTACCCTATGGGCCGTTGAGGATTTTTGGTAAATTGGCAACTTCGCTTCTAATACAATTTTCATTCCCGCGCAATAGCTGAAGTGTGTCGCTGAACAGCCCGACCGCCGCCAGTTCGCCTGGTACTTTTTACGAACTGAGAAGATCAATTTCTTCACAATTAAATTCTCGTCAACAGACATCCCGGTTCTCAGTTTGTTTAAATGATTATTTCCCGAATCCCGCTCCTCAAAATCGCCCATTCCCGTGTCCCGTTCATACCAGGAATCCCACATCTCGCTCCCTTCTATTCCCGGTGCCCGGCCTTTCAATAAACTTCATCTCGGATCCCGAAAAACCTATTGGAGACCCTCAAAAAATACGGAAACCTATACTATTCTGAAACAAAGCCTCAGCATAAAAGGCATTCAATTGTCTGCCCTACATATATCTTTTTTTAATGACCCGCATACGCAATGAAGATGGGGTTATGATGAATATAAAATGGGCTTGCCAGCACAATAATTTACGTCTTGTATTTTAAATGTTGACAGTCATGTATTATACATTTGTAATATGTTATTATGTATAATACTACCGGTATATAATATCACTATTCCAGAATATTTCTTAAATTTTAAATTAACACCTTCAACACCTCTTCTTAAAGGTGACTCTGATTGTAAATAGCTTATGCTTTTTCATCTCCGCACTGAATTTGTAATTATATAACTTATTCGAATAGCGCGTAGTTTTCTTAGGGGCGGTACCCTGGGTACGCCCCTTCTTCTTCGAATTTTGTGTTTACTCTGCTGTTATGTAACAACGTTCAAGTACAATTTTCTTGTAAGATACCTTTTCAAGTATGATTTTAATTCTGTTACTAAGTCTATTAGGATTTTATATTATCAATCTTGCTTCTGTTCTGGCCGATCATAATCATGAACGCAAGAAATTTAACGTAGAAGATGATTTTGTGATTGCGTAAACAACTCGAAGGTGCATACTTAGTATGCAGGAACTGTTGTAGGTACTCTAACGTGATTCGCTGGCTGAAACGGAGCGATCGCGATGTAAGAAGATTGACAGCTAAGAAGTGTCATCTTTGGTGTCACCTTTATAAGCTAGTGCACAGCATTTCTCAATCGGAGAAGAGAGATTGAACAAAGCAGAGTAAAGTGAGTTGTTCTAAGTAAAGTTAGAGGTCAGACTAGTCCCCAAAGAAGAAAGCTGTACCGGGGATTCAGGTCAAGAGAGAGAAATTCTTCTAACAAGCTATTGCTTCAAAAGTATACACACAAATCCATTTACAGTAGAACAAGCCAAAAGAATAGAAGGAAAAACAAAAAGAAGGAGACTTTTTGAGCAAATATCCATTTATTGATGATACAGATGATGTAGTAGATGAAGCTGTTGATAATGAAAAAACCTTAAACAGAACTGAAAAGAGTTATCGAATTAGATGATAGTGTCACAAAAGATACTATACAAAGGTACAAAGTTAGCATGTTTGATATTTATAATGTATTAAATAAATTAACATATGTTAATGAGGATATAATTGATTTAATTAGGAATAAATTTAATGGAAATGGTAATATTAAGAGAAATCGTGCTGTTGATGTATCATTTTACTTATTAAACAAAAGATCTCCACCTTCTGGAGGACTAACAGAAAAGCTATCAAATTGTTCAGCCGATCGCACAACATTAAAGGTCATATCTCAAAGTTACAGCAAACTTCATGAACTTCTCAGAAAAAAAAAAAGCTTCCGAAAGAAGTGATACTGGTTTCAATGCATGTTACGAGCTTATACACAAACATCTCACAAGTTGAGGGCAGAAACATAGTATACGCAGCTTTCGAAGTTTTTAGAGAGATGCTTCCCTCATTCCAAAGCCCTTCCCAGAGAAAGCATCGACGAAACTCATTCCAATTCAACGAACAAAGGTACTTGCAAACGTAGGGAAAGGCCGTGGTCACCAAAAAGGCAGCAGCTTTTGTAAACATCTTCATGTCTAAATTCGAAACGCATATCATTGATTAAAGTGCTAACAAACCGCTGGTTTGGAAACGCTACATCGACGACATAATCTCTCTCTTTCACACCAACAGATATGTAGTCAACCAGTTCATTGAACAAAAAATAAACACCTCCCAGCAATCAAATTTACGGCCGAAATATCTGTTAGAGAGCTATTTTCTTAGGCACAACTCTCTATACGGGTAAAAGATTTAACATGGAGTCTGTTATTGATATAAGAACCCACCTCAAAGCAGCAGAGACATTCAAGCACACGTTCTGCACAAAGTGTTACCCACTGAGGGCAAAGAAAGGCTTCGCTAAAGGCCAATTGTTTCGACTCCTAACGACTAATTCTTCAAAACATAAATTCGTTCAAAACACACCTGGCAGAGAGAGGCAGAAATAAGCAACCCGAAAACTTTTTTAACAAACCACTCTCAGAAGTGAAAAACGGATCCTACTCCAAGAGGGAAAAACAAGGCCCGTCAATTGCGATGAAGACCCGTCAATTGTGATGAATTCCAAAAGGTAATTACATCAATGCCAAGTGACAAAACCACGGGGATTGACAAAATCAGTGTACGAGTGATCAAGCATAGTCTTCCTGCTATTTTGCCATCCGTGACTTCCATAATTAGCGAGTCCCTCACAAGCAATATCTTTCCATTAGAGTGGAAAACAGCTGAAGTGATCCCTGGGTTGAAAGAAGACGATCTAGAAAAGCCAAATCAGTACCGCCCTATATCACTGTTACCTGTTCTTTCAAAACTATGCGAGCGTATCGCTTTAAATCAACTTATGCCCTACCTGGTAGAGAACGATCGTCTCTCCGTCCATCAAAGTTGTAATAAAAAATGGCATTCCACCGAGACCTCACTGATCTACATTTCTGATCGCATTCTCACCGCAATTGACCAAAAGAAAACATCAGTTGTAGTTCTCCTTGATATGAGCAAAGCATTCGACAGTGTCAACCATGACATTCTGGTTAAAAATTACAAGATATGTCTGCCTTCGGGAAAATTAGCCGAGTTAAACATATATTTAGAAAAGACCTACTTGTTGCAATAATTAATTCTCTCGTCTTTAGTAAGTTGTATTACTGCTCGTCCGTCTGGTCGAATACTTCTGCCAGCAATATACGCAAACTACAAGGAGTACAGAATTTCGCTGCTCGCATAGTTTCCGAGACAAGGAAGTTTGATCACGTATCTCCTGCCCTGAAAAAACCTGAGATGGATACCAGTTAAGTCCCACCTGTATCTAAGACGTCATCTTGTCCTTTAAATCTATGACAGATCAAGTACCAAACTACCTCAGTTCAAATTTTATCTCCAGAGGGAATATCAGCAGTTGGACGACCAGATCATCTTCCCAGCTTGATACACCGCTTTTTAAAACCAAGTGGACACTTTTTATCACAGGACTGTAACATTGTGGAATGCCTTAAAACCCCATTTCAAATTAAGAGAATCTCTTATCATTTTCAAATGTAAACTGAAAGCCTTCCTTTCAATCAATTTTTAATGTCATAATTTTTTTATGCAAATAGTTTCTTAATAGTTTATTGATAATTTTTGAGTATTTTTTAATCATCTTAAATCAAATTGTAATGTCATAAATTTTATATGTAAATAGTTTCTCAATAATTTTTTCTTGACAATTTTTGAGTATTTTTTGATTATCTGTATTATTAATATTTGTACAAGAAGTGATTTTGAAAAGCATTTCACTATAAAAAAATTGCGATAAAACATTTCTTAAAATCATTTCAAGATTAAAAAAATTGCTAAAAAGCGACGACGTTTCGACGTTAGCTGAACGTCATTATCAAGTCAAAATAAGTTAGTGATTTTTGGTCTATAAATACTAAAAAAAAAACAACAATAGCTGATTAAAATTAGTTCTTTGAAAAACTTATCCTTTGTAGAGGATTTAAGTTTTCTCTACCTCAAAAAGTTTCACCCATTGAAATTCAAGCCAGCTTTGAGAAGGCGTATTGGAGAATAGAGCCATTATTGCATGATGCAGATGAAAAGGAACTGGCTAGCTCAACGTTACGTTCAATCGCTTTGAACTACATTCAGCGTACAAGCCCTAATCCACCTAAGGCTCTTGTCAAAGCTCTCAATCGCTTAAAGAAACGTGACGACATCGTTATCACTAAGCCCGATAAAGGTTCTGGGGTTGTAGTGATGGACAAACCTGAATACATCCGCCTTCTAAGCGCTGCTTCAGTTGACAACACTTCTTAATTTACACATGTTGATGACAAGCGACCAAAA